CGTTTAAAGCCACGCCAAGAACGGCTGTGGCCAAGTCTGGCCGCCCCCCACTGCCCCCAGGTAACGTCACGATTCGGCAAACCTCCACGGTGTTTTGCCAGCGCGAAACGTGACGTTGAACGCCCCACCCCGCCTCCCCTGGTAACGCCCGCTGTCGCCGAGGAATGAAAAAACACTCCCCAACACATCTGCGCAGCAGCAGGTCGGAGCTGGGAGCTGCATGCGTAACACCCCGCAGTTGCGGATAAGAGAGGGGGGGCGGTCGCGGGGTGGCTCGCGTGTGGACCGCGGGTGGGTCGCAAGTGGGTCGCGGGTGGGTCGCGGGGTGGGTCGCGGGGTGGGTCGCGGGGTGAGTCGCGGACGGCAAGCGAGTCGCGGGCGGGTCGCGGGCGATGACGGCAACAACGCGACAAGCAGAATCCACTGGACGGAACGTCACTTCTGCCACGCACTCAGGGACAACGAATGACCGCTCGGCCCCCTCATTCTAAGATATCTCTCAATATATAGACGTATCCATATACATCGGCATAGACATAGCCATTCCTATATACATCGGCATAGACACACATGTGTCTATATGTGTATATATATAACAAGCCAGAAACGTATACACATGCACCTACAACTACATATCCATAGACCTAGATATATGCATTTACACTACACATGCGTCTGCGAATGCAAGTTCGCATACGTACACATACACATACACTTATACATATACATACACAATTAGGTACCCGTTCAAGTAATCATATACAATTACACGCACCGATGCATACTACATATAAACATAAAACATACATATGCATAGACATGCACGTGCACATTCACATGTCAATGCTCATGTACATGCACATTTCCACGTACACATAATCACACATACACATGTGCAAATACATATACGGCTACCATCGACCTGTACCTCTACATCTAAACAGTTACATATACGCATACGTATGATTGCACATGCACATCTACTTACATATAAAATTACCTATGCACCAACATGTAACCTGTACAGCGACCGGCATATATACATACAGCTATATCTGGTAATGTACATATGCAACTACATCTACAGATAGCTTCGAATGTTAGTATACGTAAGTATATACACACATATACACACACACCTACATATACACCTACGCAAATAAACACATACGCAACCATATACATGCCTGCACACATCTTCAAACACATACGCATGTGCATACTCCAATCCAGATACATGTGCATATACCTATGCACAGGCATACACATAAATACATATATATATATGTGTGTACACGAAAACACATGCACGTGCATATAGAGGGTTCATATCTATATGCATTCGCGGATGCATGCACATATATCTACACCCGTACGCATACACATACACATGCATATACACATACATCTACATATGCGCATACACATACATATGCATGATAATGTGGCCGGTTCGTAGTTATATGCATGCGGCCCCATGCATGTACAATATCCAGCACCCGTACCCACATCTATACCTACACATCTGAATGTACCGATAGGAAAACATATAAGTACCGAATACATATACGTACACCTAACCATGAATATGCATATTTACATGCACACATACATGTACATTCACATACATATACACACACACCTGAACGCAAACATATATTCACACATGCGCATAGGCAGATGCGTATACACATGCATATATAAATATACACCTGTACGATCATGTACGTATACACGCATACACAACACATGTGTAGATTTGCGTATGCATACAGAGGCATATAGATACACCTGTAGTTATATAGGCATACACATTTACGTACCCATAAACATTTACCGGTACAGATACACGTATCCGCCACCGTGCCCCTGTGCCACGGAGTGGAGTGTACCCAGATCCTTTGTTCAAGCCCTGAGCCTCAGTCCTCAGTCCTGAAGTTTCTTTCAGGGGCAGAGATCCCAAATTCCCCAATCTTCATCGTCTCTGAACGAGGTCCTGGGGAGGAATCGTCCAGGCAAGCTACATCCCTTGTCGCCACGGCTGGATTCGGTGACTCGTCGCTTCTGTTCCGTCTTCCTTCCGCCAGTGCCCAAGGCGGGTCAAGTGTAGGCATTCGCTACCTAGGTAGCGTCGCCTGCTCCAGCGGGGGCTCGAAGGGGCTCGCAAGCGGCGTCTTTGTGGCGCCAGGGTTCCCAGGGCTCCAGTGGTGGTTCGCAGGGGTTCTCTGAGGGGCCCGTCGCTGTTTTTGTGGCGCATCGGTGCCGCCAGTGGTGCCCCAGGAGGGTGCTTGGCAGGACGTTGTTGCTTCGTCTGCAGGCCGTGGGTTCGTTGCTGGCATCGTCAGCTTCCCCGCCATCCCTCCTCCCTGGTGGGTCTGGTGCGTCGGCCAGCGGGGTCTCGAGATTTCTGTGAGGATCTCTCGAGCGCCCTAGGCCGGCTGCACTGAGTGCGTTGCCCTTCTCGAGCCCAGGAAGGGCCCAAGACGGGCCAAGAGGGCCCAAAGAGCCTCCTAAGACGGTCCAAGATGGCCTCGAATTGCTGAACGTTCGGTCTAAAACGACCAAGGACGGCCTCCAGTCGGCAGAGAAAGCGCCCAAGACTTCCCCAAAGGGCCTCCAAGAGCCTCGCCAAGAGGGCCTGAAGAGGCCAAGATCATGTATTTTCCACTGGTTGTTCCATGTGTGTTGGGTTCTCCACTTTTCGAGCTTCCGACGCTCGAAGACGTCCCAAGAGTCCCTCAAGACCGCCCCAAGACGGCCCAAGACGGCCCCCAAGAGTGTCCCAAGACGGCTCCAGAGGGTCCCGAGACGGCACAAGAGGCGCTCAAGACGGCCCAAGAGGACCACAAGACGGCCCCAAGAGGGGCCCAAGAGGGGGAACACCCATTAGAAATACACACACTAAAGTATGCAGGCCGTCGTCCGACACGTAGTGTACATATTTTGTTGAACGTCTCACGCTCGCGAATCTACCCCGAAGAGTGTAAACTACACTGTGCGCGGTGGCGGTTGCGAACGTAGCTTCATGGTGATGTTCCTGTCCCAGACGAGTGGCCCGTTCGGGGGCCGAGGACGCCCCTGACAGCCAGCGGCGCCCAAGAGCTGCCCCGCGCTGGCCTTCACTGCGGCAGCTAGCACCACGGCAAAGCCTCGGGAGCGTGGCCGGAGATCTATACCTCGAGCATGCGCCGCTGCTCGCGCTGCAGGGAGAGAAGAGAAAACGGCACGAGGTCGGAAATTTTTGCATGGCGTGTCGCGGCGGCGGCTCCGGCAACACGCTATGCTCTGCGAGCGGAGCGGATAGCGTGTCGCTCCGCTCCGCGGGGCGGAATGCTGGGGCTGTTGGCGCTCGGAGACTGGAAAAGGGACAGCTTGTCGCGCCGAAGCGCGGTGGGCCAAAACCGGCGGAGCGACATGCTGAGCCAAAATTCCTAACCGTAGACATGAACTCGCGGGTCTCCGCGCGGAGTTCGGCGTGTGCGGGCTGCTTGCCACGCGCAACCGCCGAGAACGTGGCCAGGCGCTGTGCTTGTGCTGGTTAGAAGCTGAAGGCGGCCAGGGGGTCTGAACTGGATAGGGCCCCAGGAGATCGAGCAGGAGAGGGGATGGAACCAAATCTGCTCAAAATCGGTCCCCAGGGTCCCCTCCCGGGGTCCATCTGGCGCAAAGTGTTCATCCTGGAACCTGCCCGCCCTTCCTGCTCTGCTGGCCGGAACCGAGGCAGGGCCACCTCAGACCCCCAGACGGCTCCAAGCCGAGACTGTGCCAGCGCTGACTGGAGTGAGTGGCTGCCCGTGCTCGGCGGCGCGTAGAAGGGGGCAGGGGCAGGGGGGAAGGCTTCTTGGAAGGAGGCTGCTTCTCAGAAGGCGCCGGCCTCACATCTGGAGACAAGGCCCGCGCCATCTGAGAAGCAGGGGTGTTTCTGAGAAGCCTCCCCCCTCCCCCCTGCCCCCCCCCCCCTGCGCTGGCTGGAGTGAGTGGCCGCCCGTGCTGCCGGCGGAGCAGCTCGGCCAGCCATGCCAGCCGGGCGGCAGGCACAGGGCTCCACCGGCCCGGGTGCGCGGTCCATCACGGCTCCTCTGCGGAGCATGCGAGGTGCAGGCAGCGAAGGGACACGTGGCATGTCTCTTGCTGTTCGGAGATAGCCCATGGATAAGCGCGTTCCACTACTCGCAGAGTAACCACTCGCAAACGGCCTGGATCCGCCGCAGGGGGGATCTGCATTCTATTACGTAGAGGCGAACCTGTGATTTCGGACGTTTGCGAGTAGGCGCTTTGCGAATAGTGGAACGCGCTCGGTGATATCCGGTGGCAGCCCCACGTATGCCCGCGCGCACTAGTACTGCGCACCCACTCGCGCCATCGCTCGGACGTCCATTCCCCGTGCATTTGTCGAGTGCTGTTTTTTGCCTGATAATCCAAGATGCTCTCGATGATCCTCGCCCAGAGAACATGTACACGCCCGAACGATGCCAAGCACTTCGGACCCGCGCAACCGACAAGGTCAGGTTATCTGCAGGTGGGGGGGGCGGGCGGGCCCCATCACCCGGTCGATCACTGGACCCTTAAAAACACTCTCAAGGCCCAGCGGCCTCGAAGAAGCCACTGCACCAGGCACGCACCACCTTCCAGCCAGTGCCGATGCCCCGGTTGGGCTCGGAATGCTCGAGCCGGTCCCTTCACGGGCGTAGAGGGCCTCGATGATAGTCCACCTCATTCGGCGATTTGGCGGCAGCCGTCGTCTGCCCTGCCGACGCTGAACCCGCGCGCGAGTTCACAGAAGGGCACCCGCACGTCGGCAGCAGCCCCCGGGACAGCGGACGCGAGCGCGTTTCGAGACCTCACGGCACTGCGCTCGACATATACGATAAGACATCTTGCCGTCAGAACCCTGGGGGTACATCCTTCGTCGCCAGTGAACTTCATCAGGTGGCCCAATGCCCTTCAGGCCCATCGGGAGCTAGAAATTATCGTCGGGCACCTGTTGGCAGGCAAGATTCTTACTTGGTGTGCCTGGGGCAGGGTGTGCGACGTCGGTGGCCGCCACGCACGCAGGCGCTGGACATCAACCTGTCCCCGCACACCTCGCTAAGCAGCTGTAGAGTCCGATGCCACTGCCCGCCTCTCTCGCACGCGCCGATCCCAGCCGACAAGGCGATGACGTCGGGCTCCAGCCTCGCCTCCCGCAACTCGCCAAGCAGCGGCAATGCCCGCTGCCACTGTCCGTGTCCCCCGCAGGCGCTGATCCCAGCGCTGCAGCTGATGGTGTCAGGCTGCAGCCCCGCCTCACACATCTTGCAGATCATCGACAGAGCCCGCTGCCACTGGCCGACTTTCTCGCACGCACTCACTCCAGTGCTGTAGCTGACGCTGGATCCTAACTTCGCCTCACGCATCTCTCTGAACAACATCAGAGCCTGCTGCCACTGCCCGCCCACCTCACACGCGCTGATCCCAGCGCTGTAGCTGACTTGTGTGTATGTGTGCCTGCGGGCATGTACCGTGCAACTGCTGCTATGGTCTGCCGCATGCTTGCTGCGTTTGCTTATTTGCCAAGTCTTGATGCCCACTTGAGCCCTCTGGGTGGGTCTGGAGGCCGTCCTGGAATGGTCTTGGCGTCATCGTGTGGCGGTCTTGACCCGTCTGGGAGCCGTATTGAAGCATTATGTGACTACCTACCAGACAACCCCAACCCAACCCGAAGACCCGAATTTCGGGTTGGGGGGGGGACGGGTTCCATCCGTTTGTTTTCAATGTTCCCCGACACGCCCCTACTGGAAATGGAGGGCAAATCGGGGCCTTCGGGTTGGGTTGGGGTGGGGTGGTGGGTGGTGATTGTGTGAGGCCCGTCGGAGCCATCTTCCTGGGAACGTCTGGGGCTCTTAAGGCTCTCTCGTGAGGCTGGCAGGCCCTCTTCTGGGAGCCTCTGCGGCCACTATTCGAGCCATCTGGAACTGCACTGTCAAAACTGGAGTGCCAAAAATCGGCGGCGAGCGAGGGGGGGAAGTGGGAGGGAGAAGGTCTTCTCAGAAGGCGGAAGGCCTCCGGCCTTCTGAGCGGCTGTATGTGTCTTCGGGGAAGGCATAGAAAACTTCTCACCTACCCCCCTCGCTCGCCGCCGACGAGATGCACGGCGACGTCATTCGGAGCTTGACGATCTTTTCGCCCCCCGGGGGCCCTGCGGGGCGCCATCTTGGAGCCATCTGGGACCACCTTGGCGCCGTCCAAGGGCGTCTGGGCCGGTCTTGGGCGCCACCCGAGCGCATCCCGGAGCATCGGTCGGCCAGCCTGGAGCCCCGCGGGGCCGTGTCGGGCCGCCTGGGGCCGCGGTCCCCGAGGCCGGGGAGGCGTTGCCATCCGCTGCGCCCGTCGCGCACGCGCTGATCCTGGCACGGTTGCAGACAGGGCGTCGGGCTCCAACTTCGCCTCGCACATCTCGCGGAACAACAACGCAGCCTGCCGCCACTGCCCGCTCTGCCTGCACGCGAAGATCCCAGCGTTGTGGCTGATGATGCAGGCCAACTTGTGGCTCACTCGGAGCAGCGACATGGCCCATTGCCATTGCCCGCCTTTCGCGCACGCGCTGATTCCAGCGCTGTAGCTGATAACTAGGGCTTACCACTGAACGATTGTCCACGAAACCATGCTCGAATGCAAGGCTGAGGATGGCTTGCTTGCTCGCATGCTGATCTGCCTACGCTCCAGCCTGGTGGCCGGACACCGTGTTGCCTGCTCACCAACTGTCGTTAGTGCTTCACTCGTTGTCTGCTCGTCCGCTCGCTGTGGCTCATTTACCGCCAATTGCTGCTACTGCTGCTGCCGCTCGCTGTCGCTGCTTCCTGCGTGCAGATGCGTCCTGCCTCTGACTGCTGATACCAGGTGGTGCTGCTTGCTGGCTCTAATGCTTGATGCAGCCTGCCGCTGGTGAGTGCTCCTGCTGCCTGCTGCGTGCTGTTGCCGCTTTCTGTTGCTGCATACTGCTGCTTGCCATGCCAATACTCCGTGCTGTTGCACGGCGCTGATGCTCTCTAGCTGCGCTTGCTATATACGTACGCTGCTGATTGCTGCCGCTCAGGGGGCCATTGTGAGGCTCTATTGGACCGCATTGGGGGCGTATCGGGCCCCTGTGAGACTGCCTTGCGGCGCAGCGGGGCCATCCAAAGGCCACCTTAGGCCGTCTTGGCGCGTTGTCGATGCCGTCTTGGATCTTCGGCCACCTGAGCCGTCCCCTGGGTGGGCCATCTTGGGGCCCTCCAGGTGCTCTCTTGGGTATTCGTGGAACCCACCACCCTGGGGCCGTTTTGTGCCGTCTTGGAAGCTTATTGGGACAATCTGGGGTCGTCTTGGGGCCATGCTTGAAGCTTCTCATAGCACACGAGGACTCTCTTGGGACTTTCTTGGTGCTGTCACGGGGGGAGTCCGAGGCCGTGCGCAGCTTTGGAGAAAAAAACAGATATGCATCGGAATCTCCCGCTGACTTCTTCCAAATACAGTCGGGACGAATTGCCGCGGACACTGGAGAAGGCAGGACTTCCGAGGGCAGCTCTTGCTCCCAGCATGACGGGGGGGGGGAAGCGCGATAGACAGGACGCAAGGGTGCCCATGATTTCGCAGGGTCGACCTAGTAGCTGTTTGTTTCGGCTGTCGATCAACAAAAAATCGAGGGGGGCACATCTTCAAGAAACTGCAACGCAACACATAACAATAACGGCAATACAAGACGGAACCGAACCGACAAAGGCGCGACCGAGCACCACAAAACGGAGGGGAAGGGATTCCCTTCTTACGAACAAAACCTTCCCCAGAACCATGGGACACGACGATCCTGACAACAGAAGAGACCCCCCAGCGTTTTTAGCAACATCTAAGGCCTGGCCTCTCTCGCGTGCGCATCGCATGGCATGTCAGGACCTTCCTTGTCTTGCGACCCCCTCGGCGTGCCCCTCGGGCCGCGTCGGCTCTCCCAGGGCCCCCCTCTGGGCCCTCTCTCGGAGCGCTCCGAAGCCGCGCTGGGGCTCGTGGACCGCCCGCGGTCTGGATGTTCCAGCTGACGGGATGGGGAAGGGGAAGAGGATGGGATAAGACTCGGCCTCGCGCGTGGCGGGGGTGACCTGAACTTGTGCTGGAGGAACTTTGAAGGGGCCCTGGGATACACAAATACATAGACGCAAATACCAGGATTCCCACATATTTTCCCATATGTTCTGGGCTTCTGTCTTCCCCCCCACTTCCCATGTTTTCGCATATGTTCTGGGGAATCGACGATCAAGTGTGTCCGTGTGTCTTTGTTCCATCCTGCAATAACTGGTCTGGCCGCAGCGGCGCGGAGCCACGCCGCGGTCAGAGGCAACCGAGGACCCCAAAAGACCGAGTCGGGCACAGCGGGGAACGAAGGCGCTGGCGCAGGGAGAGGAGCACGCCTTGGCGGCGCGCACAAGGGGGGCCGGGGTGAGGGGGGAGGGCTTCTTAGAAGGAGGCTGCTTCTTAGAGGGCGCGGGCCTTGCATCTACAGACAAGGCCCGCGCCTTCTAGGAAGCAGGGGTGCTTCTGAGAAGAAGCCCTCCCCCTCCCCCCGCCCCCCTTCTGCGCGTGGCTGAACGCCTTACAAATGCAACAAACAAGAAATGCGTAAACAGGAACTTTCGCAGATCCGCGCGGATTTCTCGGGTCGGCGCTGACCCCCCAACTCACCCTGACGCGCGGAGCGCGCCAGGGGCGGTGCCAGAGGCGCCGCCAAGGGGCTCCAACGCCGATCAGAGCAATCCGCGCGGACCTCCAGCGCCGATCCGGGAACCGCGCGGACCTCCGAACGTCGATGTTCATGTCAGTGTTTGTTCCCCGAGGTCAGGATCCAGGGGCTCATGGTAAGCGTTTTGGTATTCTGGGTTTCGACATTTGGCCGAAAGGTGGGGGAGGGGGGCCCAAAGCAGCCAGGATCTGGTCTATGGGGGGGGGGCGCGCTGGTCGGCGAAACAACACAAACACAGCTACTTGGACCATCTTGGAAGCTGCTCCTAGGCGCCTAGGGCTCTTGCGAGGGGCCCTACTCGGGCCGTCTCAAGGCCGCCGGCCTTCCTGGGCGCCCCGCTGCTGCCTGGCAAAAGGACTACAATCGGGGCTTTCCAGGCCCGTGCCTGGGCCATCGCTGGGGCCCTCCCCAGGCCAGATTCTCCCTGGACCCAACCCCCCAAAAAAGTATCCAGGCATGCTCGCGTCACAAATCAAAACAGACGGTTGTTGGCAATGTTCGGCCTCGGAGGGCCCTGGCCGGGCCCTGGGACCGCCAAAAAATTACTCTTCCAGACGAACAACTGACCCTGGAAAAAGGCCAAACATGTGGAGACCCCGCAATGGACAAAAGAACGAACAAATATCCGGGCGAATGACCCAAACATATGCGGCTGTGAGTACCGCGTTATGGGTACCGCTCTCGGTGAACCCCCTATGGGACAACGATCCTCGTGAGGGGTGTGCCGAAACGGGCGGGGGGACGCATGCAAACCCTGCCGCGGGGGCCCTCGGTGGAGCTCCCTGTGGGGCCACGATCCTCGCGAGGGGTGTGCCGAAATGGGCGGGGGGACGCATGCAAACCCTGCCGCTGGGGCCTTCGGTGGAGCTCCCTATGGGGCCACTGTCAACGTGAGGGGTGTGCAGAAATCAACGGGGGCACGTATGCAAACCCTGGTTCTGTGGCCTTCGGTGGAGCTCTCTGTGGGGCCACGATCCTCGTGAGGGGTGTGCCGAAATGGGCGGGGGGACGCATGCAAACCCTGCCGCTGGGGCCTTCGGTGGAGCTCCCTATGGGGCCACTGTCAACGTGAGGGGTGTGCAGAAATCAACGGGGGCACGTATGCAAACCCTGGTTCTGTGGCCTTCGGTGGAGCTCTCTGTGGGGCCACGATCCTCGTGAGGGGTGTGCCGAAATGGGCGGGGGGACGCATGCAAACCCTGCCGCTGGGGCCTTCGGTGGAGCTCCCTATGGGGCCACTGTCAACGTGAGGGGTGTGCAGAAATCAACGGGGGCACGTATGCAAACCCTGGTTCTGTGGCCTTCGGTGGAGCTACCTTTTGGGCCACAATGTTCGTGAGGGGTGTGCCGAAATTGGCGGGGGAACGCATGCAAACACTGTCGCTGGGGCCTTCGGTGGAGCTGCCTACGGGGCAACGATCCTCGCGAGGGGTGTGCCGAAATGGGCGGAAGGACGCATGCAAACTCTGCGGCTGGGGCCTTCGGTAGAGCTACCTATGGGGCCACGATCCTCGGGAGGGATGTGCCGACATGGGCGGGGGGGACGCATACAAACCCTGTCGCTGGGGCCTTCGGGGCCGCGATCCTCGTGAGGGGTGTCCCGAAATGGGCGGAGGCACGTAAGTATATGCAAACCCTGCCGCTGGGGCCTTCGGTGGAGCTCCCTATTGGGCCACGATCCTCGTGAGGGGTGTGCCGAAATGGGCGGGGGGACGCATGCAAACCCTGCCGCTGAGGCCTTCGGAGGAGCTCCCTGCGGGGCCACGATCCTCGTGAGGGGTGTGCCGAAATTGGATGGGGGACGCATGCAAACCCTGCCACAGGGGCCTTTGGTGGAGCTCCCTATGGAACAACGATCCTCGTGAGGGGTGTGCCGAAACGGGCGGGGGGACGCATGCAAACCCTGGTTCTGTGGCCTTCGGTGGAGCTCCCTGTGGGGCCACGATCCTCGTGAGGGGTGTGCCGAAATGGGCGGGGGGACGCATGCAAACCCTGGCTCTGTGGCCTTCGGTGGAGCTCCCTATGGGGCCACTGTCCTCGTGAGGGGTGTGCCGACATGATGGACATGCGGCGAGCAGAAGCATGAATGGGAGGAGGGGGCAGCGGAAGGAAGGAAGGAACGCGGGGCGCTGTCTCTTCAAAACGAAGACCCAACACCACATAATGGTTGGGAACAAACAAAAAGACCCCGCATTGGAAAAACAAACAAAAACAACACAAACCATTACAACAAGTATGGCCCGGCTAAGCTGCCTTAGCGCCGTCTGGGGGTCGCTCTCGGGCCGTCCTGGGGTCTCCCAGGCCGTCCGTGAGCCCTCCAAAAACGCTCTGGGGCCGTCCAGAAGCCCTCTAGAGCCCTCAAGATCGTGTTGGACCTGTCCGGGGAGGGCGTCTTGAAGGCCTGTGGGGCCCCGTCGAAACCGTGCGAAGCCCTGCTGACGTCATCTAGAGGGGGGGAACCTGGAAAGGCGAAAACAGTGGAACACCTAGAAGAAATATCATATGCTTGTGGCCTCTCTTGCGGCCAGGGCCCAGGTCTCTCGTGAAGCCTCACGTGAGCCCGCTGATGCCTTTTTTCATGGATTTTGGGCGAGCCCCTAGAGGCTGCGAGGCCCGCCCGAAGTCGTGCTGAGGCGACCTGAACAGCCACGGAACGCCCAAATCGGCGGCGCGGCGCGGCCCGAACGCAGCCTGCCAGGTGGCGCCGCCCAGGGAATATCAAGAATGCCTCTCGCGCGCGCTGACCATGGCACTGTAGTTTTGCTGACGTCGGGTTCAAGCTTCGCCTCGCGAGAGGGGAACGCTGTGAGTAGTTGAACCTTGTTGATGAAGGAGGAAATTGTAAGAGGTGAGTGAAGTGGCCGAAAACGTGGCAATGTAATGGCTGCCTTGTTGTCATCGGGCGCAATGAACGCCAACAATGTTCCAACAAAGGTGGATCAACCTCCAAAGTCCTTCCGTAATCGACTACTACCACGGCTTGCTTCATCAGTAATGGGATTTTGTTAGAAGCGGGTACATCTCTAGAAGGAGTCAACTAGCGATGGGCCGGTACCGAATCTGAACATTTTAGAATTGGCTCCATATCTCCGATACGATTATATTTCACATGGCTCCAGCCCGGCGATGCTTCTGCCAAATCGTATACATCTGAAATGATCGGATTGTATCCGGGGTGGTCGCTAGTGGAATCCGACTATGGGTGGAACCACACCTAGAACACATTAATGATGAAACAATATGTAATACAATCCGAATCGGGTCGGAGTCACCTCTAATAGAAACCTACTGGAAACGGATCCTCCTCTACTGGAATCCTGATTATGATGGAGCCACGTGAAATGAATTGCATGAGGGGCGAAACCGCCTCGGAACAAAACAAACTCCCATGGAAAGGTGCTTTCACCTCCAATGAAATCCTTTTCAAGGATGCAACCACCAGGGATATCTTTTTTGGAGGTGGATCCACATCCATGTGAATTCGATTGGGAATGGAACCACCTCTCATAGAAATCGATTAGGAATTCTTTTCATGAGATTCGACTGGGAATGGCTGCGATCCACCTTTGATAGACTATGAATAAATAAGGAGCCGCCTGAAATAAAATCCTTCAAGGGACGGAGGCGCTTTAACATATTACTATTTCAAAATTTTACCCCCCACGCAAGGAAACCGATTGCAAAGTCGCACGCGGGGATTCGATGTAATTCACACGATGGAAATATTGTACATCGCCCACACACGTGATCAGATTGTATAGCTCCCTGTGTAGTCCACACACTAGAAATCAATCTGTCAATCCCCCACAACAAGAATCCGATTGAACAACACACACAACAAGATTCTATGTGTACCCCACACAGCAGACATCAGTATGCAAACCGCCTTGCGATGCAATGGTTTCCTTTTTATTAAAGGAGCCAAAAACATGTTGGACCTCCCGCGGGGAAAAAAATACGTCGCCGCGCGGCAGGAAACGATCCGCATGCGCGTCGGGGCGACACCGGGGCACGGCGTCGCGAATAAACCCACGTGCGCGAAGGGGGAGGAAGGCGACAGGGCGGCCGCGGAGAGAAGGAAGAAGGGGGCTGGGGCACTCGCCGGGGGTCAAAAACCCGTTGTTTTTATCTTTCCAGTTAGGTCCACAACTTGTTCCGACTTCCTTTCGAAGGAAATCATTCTTGCGGGCGATGTACATGTTGATCTTTAGTGTGCGAATTACACATAGAATCACGTTTTGGCGAAAGGAATCCTTTTACACAAGAGTACTTATGTGGCGAAAGACCAAGGAACGAAGAGGGTGTCCCACGGGAGTGCTATGACACCTGTTTGTATTTAAGCTCACACAATTGTCTGTCCACTCTCTTCTTCCTTCATCAAAAATGCTCAGGCACTCATAGCGTTCCTTCATGCACATCGCACACTTCGGACAGCAACAGCAGAGCCTGCTGCCACTGACCGCCTTTCTCACACGCGCTGATCCCAGCGTTGCGGGTAATGACGTCAGGATCCAGCCTCGCCTCCGGCATCTCGCTTTGAGATCGCGAAGGCACGTGGAGGTACTGTGGAGGCATCGGAAGGCAAACAGCTGATGAAACTTCACGAGCAGCACGACAAAAGCATCAGATGCGAAACATCGCGTCGGCGAGAAAAAAACACCAGCCGCCCGAATGGCAAAGCACAGAGCGCATCGACGCCAAATCGAACATGTCCCGCTTTACACAAGCACCAGAGGACAGCAATGCTTCCTGGGCAAAAAGGCTCCGCTACCAATCCGCCCGACAAGGGCCGCCCGCCTGCGAGCGCAACCGAGATCGCGCATAGTGCGAGGCCCCGCGAAGGCTTGAGCCAAAGTGGCACTTTTCCTCCTCGTACATTTCCTCTCCCTCCGTTCTCCCCTCCACCGCCGCCCGTCCTACCTCTCCCCTTTCTGCCTCTTCCCTCGAGAACCCCTCCCCTTTCCCTCTCCCATCGCCCCTCGCCGCCCTTTTGTCTTCCGCTTCCACCTCCACCGCCTCCTCCTCCGCCTGCCCCCACCCCCGCTCGTCCTTCCCTTCGCTCCGCGTACCGTCGCCCCCACGCCCTTCCCCGCCCTCTCCCGCCCTCCTGCCGACCCCCATCATTCCGCCCTCCTCCTCTCTCCTTCAAGCCCAACCGCAGAGGAGAGAAGGGCGCGAGGGAGACGGGGGAGTTGAAGAGGAAGGGACAGAAGGACAGGAAGACAAAGGCGGCAAGGGAGAAGGAGGACGGCAAGGAAGAGCCGAATCAGGATGAGGAGTGGCAAGTGGGAGGGGGGAGGATGGGGATGTAAGTGGAAGCATGGACAGCACAAGAAACGACATCTAATGCGAAAAACTACGGTTCGGTTTTGAATCGGCCGCATCTGAGCGGCAGAAACTGGAAATGACGTCATGTTGTGCCCCGACGAAATTTGACATGGGTTTTATTGTGCTTTCAGTCGGCGTCAAAACTGAGACCTGGGCTGGGGCGGAGGGGGGTGTAGTGGGGTACTTGGGAAAAACTTTGCGCGCGCCCCCATGCTATCATACGAAGCCACGTCGCAATGGCTCAGTGCATACACTGACCATGCAGCACGTCATCATGATAGTTGTTGCGACTCAAAGCGGTCAGAAATATATGCGCCGTGCTGTTTTTGCGGTCATCGACGGTTCTCAAGAATGACGCCGAGTCGGTTTTCTGGCCGACGTTCTTTTGGCAACGGCTTTTCACCGACGCGCCGTTTTTCAAAGCCTTGTTTTTTGTCATCAAAAATATTGTTTCTGTCTTCCAAAACCTTGGTTTTGAAAATGGGCCTGTCCAAAAAAACGGCAAAGTAAATCGCCGTGCCGGTGTTCTGGCCCGTCGTTGGCCAGAACACCAACACGGCAACATTCTTAAGAACCGTCGTTGGCCAGAAAACCGACGCGGCATCATACCATCGTCGCCACTCGCAGCCAAGTCCTGGTCACCAGGACCCAAAAGAAACCGTGACTGCGAAGCTCGAAGCGCGACAACCGAACCGATACCGATACCGAAACTACGAAACGGAAGACATCGATCTGTACATTTGGCTCGAGCGGTTCGAAGACACCTCGAGTGAAAAAGCGTGGGCGGTGCTTCGGTCGATGGCACCCGCGTGAGGAAACCCGCAATACATACAAGAAGGCGGGGTACCTGGGAGACCTGGCCAAAACGTGCAGCATTGCTGTTAACCAAAGTCGAGCTTTTTGTGGTGATGGAGCGAAGACATTGTTTGTTGGCCAAAACCACAGCAATAGCACACGAGAGTTGAGTCAAACATCAAGAGAGCAGCGGCTCGCGGCCGTCGCCCGCATCGAGCACCCTCGCAAACGCAAACAAATCGTCCGCGCCAGGAGCCCTGATCAGCTCCTGTTAAGCGACGAACCGATCGAGCTGCGAGAATTATCCTGGCGAAGGACCCAACCATTTGCAAACGTGAATACCGCAGGGCAGGTGGGACGAAGCAAAAGGAATTCCCAATGCGGCCACGAACCGTGTGAGGGGTGCGCCACACTGGGGCGGGGCCGCCATGCGAACCCTGCCACTGAAGCCTTCGGTGGAGCTCCCTATGTCCCTGCGGGGCCACGAACCGTGTGAGGGGTGCGCCAATATGGGGCGGGGCCGCCATGCGAACCCTGCCACTGGGGCCTTCGGTGGAGCTCCCTATGGGGCCACGAACCGTGTGAGGGGTGCGCCAAAATGAGGCGGGGCCGCCATGCGAACCCTGCCACTGGGGCCTTCGGTGGAGCTCCCTATGGGGCCACGAACCGTGTGAGGGGTGCGCCAAAATGGGGCGGGGCCGCCATTCGGTGGAGCTCCCTATGGGGCCACGAACCGTGTGAGGGGTGCGCCAAAATGGGCGGGGCCGCCATGCGAACCCTGCCACTGGGGCCTTCGGTGGAGCTCCCTATGGGGCCACGAACCGTGTGAGGGGTGCGCCAAAATGGGGCGGGGCCGCCATGCGAACCCTGCCACTGGGGCCTTCGGTGGAGCTCCGTGTGAGGGGTGCGCCAAAATGGGCGGGGGGCCGCCATGCGAACCCTGCCACTGAGGCCTTCGGTGGAGCTCCCTATGGGGCCACGAACCGTGTGAGGGGTGCGCCAAAATGGGGCGGGGCCGCCATGCGAACCCTGCCACTGGGGCCTTCGGTGGAGCTCCCTATGGGGCCACGAACCGTGTGAGGGGTGCGCCAAAATGGGGCGGGGCCGCCATGCGAACCCTGCCACTGGGGCCTTCGGTGGAGCTCCCTATGGGGCCACGAACCGTGTGAGGGGTGCGCGAAAATGAGGCGGGGCCGCCATGCGAACCCTGCCACTGAAGCCTTTAGTGGAGCTCCCTATGGGGCCACGAACCGTGTGAGGGGTGCGCCAAAATGGGGCGGGGCCGCCATGCGAACCCTGCCACTGGGGCCTTCGGTGGAGCTCCCTATGGGGCCACGAACCGTGTGAGGGGTGCGCCAAATGGGGCGGGGCCGCCATGCGAACCCTGCCACTGGGGCCTTCGGTGGAGCTCCCTATGGGGCCACGAACCGTGTGAGGGGTGCACCAAAATGGGGCGGGGCCGCCATGCGAACCCTGCCACTGGGGCCTTCGGTGGAGCTCCCTATGGCGCCACGAACCGTGTGAGGGGTGCGCCAAAATGGGGCGTGGCCGCCATGCGAACCCTGCCACTGGGGGCTTCGGTGGAGCTCCCTACGGGACAACGAACCGTGTGAGGGGTGTGCCGAAATAGAGGCATGCGGAGGGTGATGCTGATGATGACGCCGAATATCATGGTGATGTTGATGATGACGATGATGATGATGACGATGATGATGATGGTGGGAGGAGGGAGGAGGGGGGGAGGAGGAGAGGAGTGAGGACGCGGGCGCTGTCTCTTCAAAACGAGGACCCAACACCACAGGATGATTGGGAAAAAACCGAAACGAGGAAGCATATGATTTATCCTTGCTGACGTTGTGTGCTTTCGACAACGCGGCCAACAGGCCGAGGAATCGGCCTGCTCCACCGCCAGCCTTCTGTCTCTTCATATTCCTTCCCCTGTCGGGAAAACATACGCGGAGCACGTCCTAATCTGCGATCGGGATTCCCGCGCACTGCCTCAAAACCCCTGTCCTTATAGTAGCTGATTTTGCCACGGCAGAACTCAACCGAGAACTGACAGGCTCCGCGGGGCCCGTGGAGCACGGGAGCGGCAGGAAGCAGATGTCCACCTGCAGGGACCACTCCGCCCTCGTCGGGTTCAGGTTCGGCGGGGGGGTCCCCTGGAGGCGGCAGCTCGAATGGGTCAAGGGGCAACGCGATCAACGCGTGAATTGTATGGTTGATTGAATTTGCGTCTGGATTTCGGGCCGCGTGTTTTTTTCGGTTTTCGCCGCGTCGGCGCGCTGATGTCTTCATTGTTTGCTTAGCAGTCTTTCACTCATTTCTCGAGGGTGCGAAGAGGAAAGCGGATTCAGGTTTCGTGTTCAATGATTGAGCGTCCTCAGATGCCTCCCGAGCACCTCCATTGCCTTCAAGATCTCAAATCTCGCTGAGTAGCGACAGAGCCTGCTGCCACTGCCCGGCTTTCTCGCAGGCGCTGATGCAAGCACTGCAGCTGATGAGGTCAGGCTCCAACGTCGTCTCCCGCATCTCGCTGAGCAGCGACAGAGCCTGCTGCCACTGCCCGCTTTTCTCGCAGGCGCTCATGCAAGCGCTGCAGCTGATGAAGTCAGGCTCCAACGCCGTCTCCCGCATTTCGCTGAGCAGCGACAAAGCCTGCTGCCACTGCCCGCATTTCTCGCACGCACTCATCCCGGCGTTGCAGCTGATGACATCCGGCTCCAACATCGCCTCTGGCACGTCTCTAAGCAGCGACAGGGCCCGCTGCCACTGCGCACCTTTCTCGCACGCGTTGATCCCAGCGTTGTAGCTGACTCGTGAAATTCGTGGGAAAGACATGACCGGCAGATTCGTACTTGGCTGGATGACCGTTGGGACCGTCTCTGAGCAAGAGCTTGTGGGGTGCGGCGGGACGTACAGGGCTGCAGACATTGAGCTCCCAGATCCCCCGCCCAGCTTCTCCAAGGGGCGTAGAACGAGGAGCGACCCTGCGGGGAGCAAGGAGCGAGGAGGAAGGAGCATGGAGCGAGGAGCCGTAGCCAGGAGGGGGAGGAAGGAGCATGGGGCGTACATGGAGCAGCAGAATGCGAGGAGTGGGAAGCTGGAAGGAACGAGCGAGGAGCGAGGAGCTGGCAGCGAGAAGGAAGGAGCGAGAAGCGAGGAGCGAAGAGCGACCGGCGGGTAGGATACAAACGCTCCAATAAAGGAGTGCGAGTGTTTGGAATGTGTGGCCTCGAAACGCATGTGCCTTAACACGGGGTATCTTTCCTCTTGGGGCGCTCCTGAGGCCCTCGTGAAGCCTTCTGTGGGCCCTGTTGGGACGTTTTGGAGCACTCCGAGGGCCTGCTGGGACCGTCTTGGCGTCCCTGGAGGCCTCCGGGGTGGGCCTGCGGGACTCTTGGGGCCGTGCTGGAGTGGCCTTGGGCCGTCTTGGGCCTTTTTGCAACCGTATTGGACGCCATGCTGGGACAGACTGGGCCATCTTGAGGGTGTCCCGGGTCTTCTTCGATCCCGTCGGTGGCCTCTGGGGCAAATTGCGGTGCCATCTCGCGCAGAGAAATTGGAAAATGCGCAGGAAGCACATGTGTGACGGGTTTCGTCTGTCTGGAGTTTTGGCTGGGCGTCCTGCATGCGCTTGGCGCAAAAGCATGGAGCTTTGTCCCATTGGGACAATGTTGGGAGCCTCTCGAGCCCATTGGGGGCCCTCGTGTGTGGCACTTCGGCTGTCTTGGAAGTGTCTTGCGGGCCTCCTCAGGCGTCGTGGGAGCCCCATGACAGGTATCCAGAGCGTTGGAGCCAGCACTGGTTTCAAGCCTGGCACGCGCTTCGACCCAAATTGTAGTACACATTACGTCAGGCGCCAACTTCTCATTCCACATCTCGCCGAGCAACCAAAGAGATGTTTGCCACTCTGTGCTTTTCGCGCACGCGCTGATCGCAGCGCTGTAGCTCATGACAGTTGGCGTCAGCTTTGCCCTCCGCATCTCCCTGAGCAGCGAAAGGGCCTGCTGCCACTGCTCACATTTCTCGCACGCGCTGATCCCAGCGCTATAGCTGACTAGTGCGAACCCGTGGATTAATTAGATCCACGGTGTGCTGAACGTGGAACTCGCACATCGTGGGTGAACAGCTCGTCGAAGTTGATCAGCTCAGGCGTCCCTGGGGCCATGTCCGGGACATGTTGGGCCTTCCTGCGAGCCTGTCGGGGGCGTCTTGAAGGCCTCTTGCGGTTAATTGGGCGCCTCTGGGGCCAGTCCCGGGCTGTCCCCCAGAGCCTATTCTGGGGGACAGCCAGGGAAACTTATTGTGCGTGCGTGCTGTGAGGCTGCTATCAGTAACAGTAGGTCCCCCCTGTCACCCCTGAGGTTAGCTGCAGGGTTTCCTGCAGGCTCCGGGAGCCGGGGCTGGAGGCTTTCTTCGAATATACTCCTCCCTCCTCCCTCCTCCCTCCTCCCTCCTCCCTCCTCCCTCCTCCCTCCTCCAGAGAAGAATCTCGTGGTCTTGGGGCTGTCTTGGGGGCCACCGAGGGCCCTACTCGGCCGTAGGGGGGGAGCGAGACTCTGGTCCCCGCAGTGGCTGCAGGTCACCCCCCCAAACACCCCTAATCGGCCGTAGAGGGGGAGTGACCGAAGTGGCTGCAGATACCCCCTGCACCCCTAACAGGCGGAGTGGAGGCCCCAGAGTGGCCAGAGCCTCAATGAGGGACGGAGGAACGAATCAGAGAAGAAGGTCCCCCCTGTCACCCCCCATCGGCCGTAAGGGGCGAGGTCCGGAATGCGACTCTGTGCCATCTGGTCCAGGGTTCGCTCTTGGGAGCTCCGTGGGAACTATGGGAGTCTCTTCCTGGGACCGCTCTTGGGAGCTCCGTGGGAACTGTCGGGGTCTCTTGGCAAGCGTCGGAGTCTTGTGGGCGACTCTGGGGCATCTCGGAGTGGCCCTATGACCGCTGTTGGGACTACCGCAGTCTCTTGAGAGGCTCTGGGGCATCTCGGAGTGGTCTGGGGTCTGCTTTGGGGGTCTGGGGCTTTCTTGGGGGAGATTGGGGTCCGAGATGCGGCGAAAGGGTGCCGTGGCTCGAGGCACTCTCCTCGGGAGCTCCTTGGGAAGCATCGGAGTCTCCTGGGAGACTCTAGGGCATGTTGGAATGGTCCTTGGAGGGTTATTGGCCCATTCGGGGCAGCGGGAAGGGCGTCGTCTGGGCTCCCTTCGGCCCCTCTTCGAGCCCGCGTGGGGGTCTCTTCGGAGCCTCCCATTTCGGTGCCTCTTGGGCCGTCCCGGGGGCCTCTTGGGCCGTCCTGCGGCCCTGTAGGAAGCCTCGGGCCATCTTGGAGCTCGCTTTGGTGCCTGTTGGGCAGCTCCTGGGGCCCTCTTTGGTTTGTGTTGGGGGCCACCAAGTACTCTATGAGGCTGTATTGGGCTTCTCCTGGGCAATCTTCGGGCCCTCCGGGGCCGTCTGGGGCACTGGGCGGGGCCTCCTGGACCGCTTTGGGGCAATCTGGGGTGGCCCTGGAGCCGTCTGGGGCCACTCGCGGCCTGAAATGGCGAGAAGGCGAAAAACCTTTGAAAACCCTAGGGAAACCATGATTGTGGCCTCGGGGGGCGGTCGTCGGGGTCTTGGGAGGCACCAGGCCCGGTTTCGGGCCGTCTTGGGCTGTCGTGGAGCTCCGTTAAGGTCCTCTTGGGCCGTCCTCGCGCCCTTCGGAGCGTCTCGGAGCAATATTCGGGCTGCCTGAGGCTGTGTTGGAGCCACCTGGGGGCTCTCGGGAACCGTCGGAGAGCGGCGGAGCGCTCCGGGCGGTCGGGGGCAGCTAGCGCACTGCGGACGCATCTCGCACGCGCAACGCCCAGAATGATGTAGTACAGTTGACGGTGGGCTCCAGCCTGGTTTCCCGAACCCTGGTGAGCAGCCACAGGGCGGCCTGCCACTTTTCGCCTTTCTCGCACGCGCTGATCCCAGCATTGTAGCTGACTAGGGCTGACCCGCGGCCTTCCGGCCGCGGAATCTGCCCGCCATGGCGTGGACGTGGAAGTAGAGCGTCTCCGGGGCCTGGCAGGTGAAGGGGGGGTGGAGGGGACGGCGTGGATGGAGGAGGTGGCCGCTGGAGGAGGAGATGGGGCGATGCAGGCAAGTAGGCATGAAGGCAGGAACGCGGTGGTGGAGGCGGTGTCAGTGGAAGCGCACCCATGTAGGCATGACATGGTGTGGACAGAAGCTGTTTCTCACGCCCCAGTCCGTGTTCATCATAGCTTCTGCGGGGAGGGTAGCCGTGATAATTGTATCAGCTCTTCGCCGGGGCCGAACAATAATTTTATCTGGTAGTGTGGTTACAATGGGGCCGGTGGGCGCGGCCTAAGAGGCCCCGCAAGAGGGCGGCGAGACGGCCCAAAAGGTCTCCAGGACGGGCCAAGAGGCTTCCCAGAAGGCCCCCGAGGGCCCCACGAACTCCCTAAGACGGGCCCCAGTGCGAGGACACGAATCGACATTTCGAGAGCACCGCCCCAAGACGTCCCCCAAAGGCGCGGAAATGGCTCACAGAGGGTCCAAGAAGCCCCAAAGACGACGCTGGGAGAGAAGGATCCAAGGCCTCTTGGGGGCAGTTTGGGGGCAATTTTTTCCCTACCTAGGCTCTGCCTAGAAGGGTTCTTACTCTCTTAGCTTAAAGGGGCCGGGCAGTGGAAAGCGCCCCGGGCGGTTCCCCCAGTCCCCTGGGAGCGGTTCCCCCCAGTCCCCTGGGAGCTTTAGCTTTAGCTTTAGCTTTAGCTTAGCTTTAGCTTAGCTGCTAGCTTAGCTTAGCTTAGCTTAGCTTTAGCTTAGCTTAGCTTAGCTCGCTTAGCGTTTAGCTTAGCTTTAGCTTAGCTTTAGCTTAGCTGTAGCTTAGCTTAGCTTAGCTTTAGCTTAGCTTTAGCTTAGCTTTAGCTTAGCTAGCTTTAGCTCAGCTTTAGCTCAGCTTTAGCTTAGCTTTAGCTTAGCTTTAGCTTAGCTTTAGCTTAGCTGTGGCTTAGCTTTAGCTTAGCTTCAGCTTAGCTTTAGCTTAGCTTTAGCTTTAGGTAGGGTCGCACTGGGATAATTTGCCTCCTGGGGGTCTCTCGGGGCCCTTTTGGGCCGTCTTCAGTGCCTCTTGGGCCGTCTTGTGGCGATGTGGGGCCGTCTCGGGCGCCTCTCGGACCATCTTGGGGCCGTCTTGGGCTCATCTTGGGCCGATATTGGGCGCTATTGGGGCTGCCTTGCCGTTTCGGGCGCCTCTGAAGCCGTCCCGGGGCCGTCTCGGGCCGTTTTGAAATCCTCCTGGGGGCGTCTGGGAGCGTCTTGGGCGATCTGAGGGCCTGTACAGCCGTCTTGGAGACTGTGCAGATGGAAAGGCTTGGGGACGGGGCGGTGGGGGCCTGTACAACCGTCTTGGAGACGGGGCGGTGGGACCGTCATGGGCCATTATGAACTGCTCTTGGTGCTGTCTTGGGTGCGTCTTGGGCCCTGTCGGGCGCCTCTGGAGCCGTCCCGGGGCCGTGAGTGGCTGTTTGGGGGCCCTCCTGAGGGCCTCTGAGCGCGTCTTGGGGCGATTCCAGTAGGGAATGGGACGATTTCGGCCTTTGGGCTCCTCCTGGAGGCCCTCCTGAACCATCTTGGGGATATCCTGGCCTGCCTTGGGGGCCTCTGGGGCTGTCTTGGGGCTCCCAGGGGTGCCCTGAGGCCGTCTTGGCGCCCCCTGGAGACTCTCCGAGCCGTCCTGTGGGCCATTAGTGACTGCTCTTGGGGCTGTCTTGGGTGCGTCTTGGGCCGTCTCGGGCGCCTCTGGAGCCGTCCGGGGGCCGTGTGGGGCTGTTTGGGTGCCCTCCTGGGGGCCGCTGGTCTTGGGAGGAGCTGGGGGGCCTGTACAGCCGTCTTGGACGCTGCGAGGACGAAGAAACAAGATACAGTGAACATGTGCGTTTCCCGTCAGGAATGGGACGATTTTGGCCTCTTGGGCCCCTCGGGAAAGCGATAATTGTGGCCTCCTGGGGCCCTCCTGGGAAGCCTCTTCGGCGTCTCTTGGTCCGTCGTAGAGGCGTCTGGGGCCGTCTTGGCGCCGCAAGAGGCAGTCTTGGCTTGTCGTGGAGCGCTCTTGGAGCGTCTTGGGGATACCTTGGGCCGTCCTGGGAGCCTCTTGGTGTCGCCCTGGGGCTGTTTTGGGCGCCTCTTGGGCTCTCTTGACGCCCTCTCGGGCCGGTTTTCGTGCGTCTTGGGGGCCTCTTGGGCCGCCTTGGGGCGGTCGTGGGGACCTGGAACCAGCTTCTGCGCCATATTCCCGACAAGCAGCGCATGCTAAAAGTGAGCGTTTTTCTTTGGGAAAACAATGAGTTTCGCCTCTGGGGGCCATCCTTGGACGCCTCTTGGGCGTCTCTGGGGCCGTCGTGGAGGCCTCCTGGGCCTTCTTGGGTTCGTTTTCGGCGGTCTTGGGCTCTCTTGGAGCGCTCTTGGGCTGTCTTGGGGGTGTGTGGGGCCGTCCTGGGCGCCTCCTGGGAGCCTCTTGGGGCCGCCTGGGGGCCGTGTTGGGCGCCTCTTGGGTCTCTTGACGCTCTCTCGGGCCGGTTTTCGTGCCTCTGGGGGGCCTCTTGGGCCGTCTTGGGGCGGTCGTGGGGACCTCTTGTCCCGTCTTGTGCGCCATATTCCCGACAAGCAGTGTATGCTAAAATTGGACGCTTTTCTTCGGAAAAACAACGATTTGGGCCTGTGGGGGCCATCCTGGGACGCCTCTTGGGCGTCTCTGAGGCCGTCGTGGAGGCCTCTGGGCCTTGTCGGGGCCGTTTTCGGCGGTCTTGAGCTCTCTTGGAGCGCTCTTGGGCCGTTTTGGGGGTGTCTGGGGCCGTCCTGGGCGCCTCTGGGGCCGCGTGAGCGCCTCTGGGGCGTCCCCGGAGCCGTTGTGGGGCATTTTACGCCCATCAAGACAGGGACACTTCCCGCACGCACGGGTCCCTGCATTGTAGAGAAGACTTGTGACTAACGTGGACCTGCGGGCGGAACTCATGAGCAACATCTGCTGATGTTGCTGTGGGCTCATACTACTGAATAATGCGCATGTTCTGCTTGTTGCGTGCCTGCTGCTGCGTGCCAGGCTCATCCTAGCTGCTGATGCTGCTGCTGTTGCTGCTGCTGCTGCTTCTGGTAGCTCTGCTACTGTTGGCTCTGATGATTGCTTGCTGGGTTCGCTGGCTGATCGAGTCTTGATACCCTCTCAATGGCCTCGTGGGGCTGCCTTGGGGAAGTATTGGGCCTGCTGCTGCTGAATGCTGGTGCCTGCCTGCCTTGGCTACTGCTGCGAGGTGTGCCGTTCATGGCTTTGCTTCTTGCCTGCTGGGATTGCAGGCTCGTCCTGTCTTGATGTCTTCTTGGGGTCCTCTTGGGGCTATCTCAGGGTCTGCTTGAGCTACCTTCGGGCGCACGTTTGGGGCCTTGCGGGGCTTTTTGGGGGTGTCTGAGGGCTGTCTGGAAAGGTGCGGGGGCCAGATTGGGGAAGCATTGGGACGCCTTTGAGCCATCCTGGGGCAATATTGGATGCCAGTCGGGGCCATATTGGGCCAGCTTGGGAGAATCTTGGGCGACCATGGGAATTATTGTGTCCCTCCTTGGCAAGATTGGCAGGATCTTGGGGCCCTTGTCAGAGCCATCTGGAGCTGAACAGACGCAAGGTTGAAGATCCCGTTGGCTGCTTGCATGTTATTCGGCGCGCGTGGCTACCAGCCTGCTGGCCCGACATATTGACCCCGTTGATCCCCGATATTAATGCTTGCATGCTGGCTGGCTTGCCTGATGCGTTGCTCGCTGTGTATGAAGTCCACTCATATCACCACCATATCCTGCATACCGCTAACGTACTGGCTCAAGATATTGGTGCACATACCGCGCTGCCCTCATCGCAGCACCTTGGAGAAGGATTAGCTACCCTCTTCCTCACTCACCTCTACCTACGGGTTACTTTATGGGTTCGACTCATTGGTCGTTGAAATTTACACACTGGTAATCAGCCCAGTATTTTACGATCTTCGTCGCCGCGGTACGCTTCGTCTTTGACCCCGCCGCATGGTCCTGCGCCCCTCGGGGCGCAGTGCCTCTATGCGCGCGGCGTCTTCGACGGCGCGTGGGCGCAGCGACCACACGGAGAGGGCGAGAGAATCCGTGATACCCATTTTCCCGCTTTGAGGCGAAGGCAATTCCGCGTCGCTCGCGGCCGCCCTTGGAGAGCTTCTTCCTGACTCGCCGCTGCCGCCGCTCGCGCGCGCCGCCGCTCGCGCGCCTGGGACCTCACATATTGCCCGGGCGCCTGATTCGTCCGATGGACCGTTTCCTGGCGCCGCCTTTGATTGTTCCCATGCGCTGGTGGAAACAGCAGCAGCTGGCCTCGGTGTCACCGCTGGATTCGCCTCGCCTCTGTCTTCTTCTCCAACCTTCGTTGATGGACGTTACGCCGGTGGACGCACCAGCAGCGGCGGCGCCAGAGAAACATCTCCAGAAAACGCTTTCGCGCGCCCCCGCCGCTGGGCTGAGGCCATGTCCCCCCCCAACGCTTTTGTCTCTGAACATGCGCGTGCGAGGCCCCAGAACGGCACCACATACAATCTCCCCATAGAGACAATAGCCGCAGCCCCTCACAGAGGCGTTCCCGGCAAAGCCTCCTGCGACTGGCATCGCGCGCATCTCCCTCAGCCAATGATATGGCAGAACTTCGAGACCAGGTTGAAACTTAAACGACCCAGCAGTTGTCGGGTCTGGCTGCACAGACAGCAACACTAAGGCAGGAGCTACACCACGCCCTCGCCGTTGTCAACGCTCGGATCGCTGAAGATCAATCGATCCTCGCCCAGGTCCAATATCAAGTTGACCAGATGGAGTCACACCGAGGTTCCGACTCCACTGCAATTCAGACGCTACACGACTACCCCCTTCGAGTGGAGGCCCAACTCGTGGGCGTCAGGGACACGGGCGCTGCCGC